AAATAAAGTCATCCATAATGACCTTAATGTTCCATATATTTCAGATAAACAATCCAGATACCTATCCTTCCATAATAAACAGAAGCATCCGAACCCTATTGTTCCTAACCTTGCATCTTCTGCGATCCCTGATAATACTCGGAGGTTTCTTAAAATAAGATGGCCTCGTGATCTTCTAATATATTAATAGAGTGGATAGCTACCAGAGGATACTAGATACCAGAGGTTAGTTCCTCAACATTTTTTTCATACCATTATATTCCTATGTTCACATTTACTACAAGTATTTTTATAGTAGTTCATTTGACTACTGGCCAGAAATAAATTCATCAAAAATTATTATTTCATTGCAAATTTATTTGAACATATAGAGGAAAACTTCGTCCTTCTCCTCAGAAATCTAAAATGTTACAATAAATAAATATTTTTAGGTTCTTTCATGAAGATTTATTTATAGTAACATTTTAGATTGCTAAGGAGGAGGACGAAGTTTTCCTTGAAATGTTCAAATAAATTCACAATCAAATACTAACATTGACCAATAGACAAATGAACCACTATGAAAAGGACAAAGATCAAACAAGCATATTGAAAAAGAATTATTTTTATTGCAATACAGTTGTAAATATCATGAATAAAAACAAAAAAAAAAAACGTGTATTTATCACATTTATCCATTAAAGAGCAGACTTGTATCGTCACTTAATACTTCTGTGAAATCAGTTCTGAGCTGGAAGAAGAAAATATTTATAATATATCACTTAATCATCAACATTAGATAATGTCGTCATTGTATTTTTTTTTTCAAATATTTCTTTTCCCCATTCATTTCTATTTAGAATTGTATTAAAAATCTATAGGTGACATAAAATTATAAGTATCAGGATGCCAAATTCACAAAATTTAACAGATTTATTATACTTTAAATACTTTCCATTATATAATGCAAGGTGTATCGGCCACAATTGCCAGGGATGCCATTTTTCATATTCTTACATAATCCTGAACGAAACGATAGGCACTTACGATTTGCATATTTATTGGATGTCGGTATCAGGAGTGGGTAGAAGTTGGGAAGGCCTCGCCAGTCATTACCCAAATCACTGCTATAACCGACCCATTTGCCAAATAACAGGTCAATTTTTCTTATCGGCTAAATAGTCAGCTGAGGGGGAAAAGAGAAATATCCTAAACATAAGTTTCGAGAGGAGGAAAAAAAAAAACGTTTGGGCAAGTAATTCTCCGGCCGGCGCCAAGGGGTGATTTAACAGTTCACAAAAGACCTTTTTCCGACCTAAATACGAGCGTTTTAGAAAATTAGGGTCGCTTTAGGGAAGGAAAACAGACGTTTATGAGGTAATTTCCCATTCTTCATAAGCGAGTCGGCAACGGAATCTATCATTATCCCCAAAATACGGAACTACTTATAAGGCAAGTGCTACTGTATTAAACAGGCGACGTGATTGTGTTGGGGAGCAATTTTCGTTATTTGCGAACCATCAGATTTCTCGGACGATATCTAATTGATGCTAAAAAATTCAGAGAAGGATTCTGAGGTTTTACTTCCAACTTAATAGTGGACTTTAGAATAATTCATCATTCTGTAACCTGTAAGCAATCATTTGAAATCCCTATTAAAAAAAAATACGAAAATTAGAGTTGAAATATAATTGAAGGATGAACATATCTAGGCTAGCGTTATCCATCAAATTTAAGATGAGAGTAATTAGTTAAATAAAAAATAGCCTATCATCCAATATTTTTTATTTAGTTTTATTAAATTCGATTTTTTATGAAATCAGATTTTGTTGAAGAAGTGTAAGGCAAAAAAATCTTTTAGAATGTTGCTTATGATACAATTGTTTGAATTAAATAAAAAAAAAGGAGCGTTTGATATGTGCTGAAGTACGGTAATTAGCTTGATGAGGTTTTTTCTTTTATTTTTCATTCCAGCCACTCATCAAAATGGTATAGAATGTAGCGGGTTGATGCTATCATACAGGAGTGCAGGACGTTGATTTTTTTAATAGACTGAAATTGATTTTGTCGAGTTTTATCTAGATTAATAAAATAAATTAGCTAATTTAGATTGTCACACATTACAAGGATTTTTCGGAAGGAATTTCCAAAAAATAAATACAAACTTCACAGCGAAATATAGTTGAATAATATCTGAGGGTTCCGCCTTATTATTTTAGATCGAATTTACAGCGCCTGACTAATGCTGGACAGGGGCTAATAATTCCTGCAGAAGAACCATTAAATACACGAAAAGAGAGATAAGAGGGAGAGAGAGAGCCGTGTAGTGGAGAGAGAGTGGAGAGATAAAAAGATGGCCGCCGGAGGGGAGGGAGTCATCGCTCATCAGAGCCCCATCATTTTTCATCATTAGGCCATCACACACCGTCCCACGTCTTAATCCTCAGCCGACATCTGCCGACCAGGAGTCCCACCGCGCTTGATTAATTGCCTTAATCACATCCACTAAATTATTCTCCTCCTAGCTAACAGCTATAATGTGTTCTCTGATTAATGTGTTTGTTTTATATCCCCTCCGGCCGGGGTCTCTTACTGCCCCAGCTTCGGATATTGGCCTCTTGTTTAGAGCAGCGAAAGTATTCGTGTGCTTCAAAGTGTTGTTAATAGGAAAAAAGTGTTGCTAATATACGCTTGTTCTCTAAAACATTACAGATTTGTAATTCAAACGTTGATAAGTTAATGTCTAGAAGCCTATGACTGCTCTTCTCAATCCAGCATAATAAAAGAAAGTTTATAAAGTAATTCAGCTACCTGATCATATCTACTGACAGATTAAGGAATTTTAAATTAGGAACTCTCGTAGGAATCTTCAGTTCAGACTCGGAAGGTTACTGGGAATGGATTGAGCTGGCAGGTTATGATCCAATGGGTTAGTATGGATAAGACATTTCAGATTGTAGATGGTACATCTGTTTCGTATCAAATTTATAACAAAAGGAATATTCAGGTCTTTATGGATGATTCTGTAAATAACGTTAAAAAGATCATTGAGGATTTCTAGAAGGACCATGAACACATTTAGCCATGTTACTTGTTGCCCTTCAGTGTGGCAGATTATAATATTTAATGCTCAATAAAAAAAAAGAAGGATCAATTCCTCAATTCTTGTCTAAACTATGTTCAAATAGACCTCATAATGGTAATTTAAATGAACTTGTTGTAATAACTGGATACAGTAATAATTTGAAGCATTTGTCAAGTAAATGTGGCAGATTTTTATTTAATATAAAATTAAATAGAATATTCAAATAAATCCTATGAAGATTTTTTTTAAAACTTATTTATTGAAAAATATTACAATATGTCTCAAGGACATTTATAATAGTGTTCTGAGATCACATCACAATCTATGTAAAATAAATAAAATAAAACCCATGAAGTTAAAAAAAAAAAAAATCTAATTAGTCTTCCGTTTAATATCATCAAAGGCTTGCACTTTTCACATCGTTATATTTTTATCAATTTGATTTGACTATTTAATTTGCAAATTGGAAATGGATGAAATGAAAGTGAACCATTTGTATACTATTTCCCAAATTTTCTTTTGGCCAAAATCGAAAAACCCGAACCGTTTTCGAAATATATGAAATATGTGAAATACGTTTGCATATTCATTCAAGGAAAACTGCAGATGGAATTTGATAAAATTGATACCTACTGTTTTTTTTTGTGTGTGTGTTTTTTTACCAACCCTTACATCTCCATCAAATTTCGTGCATCAGCACTGACTGATTTGTCCCATGATGTCTTAAACGTAAAACGTGAGTGGAAATTTTCGATTTTAAGTCATCTCATAAATAGAAAGGTTCCCTTTATTCGGAAGCAATATATATTAGTTTATTATCATACCATAAATTATCTATCCATAATTGGTAAATGGTTGACTGTCGTGGATAATGAAGAGAAGAATAGATGACGCCAAGAGACGACGTCACATACACATCTCTTCTCTCTCCCCCTCCCTTGCTACGACTTTTATTTTCCCTGCAACACTTATGGAGACAGGTAGTACTTCTTTTATTTCCTTCTTATTTCAGCTTTCTCAGTTTCTTCCCTCCTTCCTTTCATTCCTTTTCCCTGTTTTTAACTCTTTATTATATTACACATTGTCTGTACATCTTGATAGACTTTACAATATCTCAAATTTCTATCTAACTACTCCATTCTCAATGTCTTAATTTCACTATTTATTTTCATTTCTTATATAACTTCATATTTCTTTTTTATGTTTTACATTTTATTCTAAGATTCCCATTTTAACACTTATATCACCCTTTTTGATTATGATTACTACATCATTCCACAATTTGTAACGGTTATTATTATTTATCTCTTAGTTCTTACTATTGTCATTATTCTAACAATTTCATTTTACTTTATATTTTTTTTCTTTATTTTTTTTAATTTTTTTTTTACCATCACTACTTATGTTTTTCATACCTTGTTATCTGGTTATTTTCTTAGCCCTGATGAAGGCCTGAACTTCAGGTCGAAACGTCGGCATATGTAAAAATAAATATTATCATTTATTTTTGCCTTCTTTTTTGACTGACCACCCCAACTATTCTTCTCTTCATAAATTATCTGCTTAGAGGATATTTTATTATGTTATCATCACTTCAAAATTGGGAACATATCAGCAGCTCTGCAGAATTAATTCAACAACTATGATTAAATATGAACAGATCCATTACAGAAAGTAAACTGAGGAACGGTTTTGCTACATTTATAATCGAAAATTGGGTAACGTCAGACCAGGATATAATCAAACATTATTTTAAACTCTACTTGCATTAACAAATCGAAACTAGGTTTCCTATGTATCCTGCGGAAATGTTAATAGCGTCTAAATGGCGCGATTATAATTAGTCCGTGAAAACTGTTCGGCACTGATGAATAGAGACGGCCACTGAAGACAGGTACAAAGTGGAACCAGAACCATTTGTAGGCTTGACTATTTGTTATAGTAGTGGGCGGCTGAGTACACAGGAAGGGTTTGTGTACCCTGCGAACAATAGTGAGGCTATACAAAAAAAATGTCGAGAAATAACAGCTGCCACAGCCTGGGTGGTCGGCGCTGATCGGTGCACGGGGATCATCTCCGGAGAGGACGCGGCGCTTTGAGGTGCACTCAATGCCAAGACCGAGGTGTCATGGCTCCTCAGCCCGGGGCCGTAATCCTCATTGTACTCGAGGTCGTGCGGTCTTGTAAGACTTCGTCGGTAATTTTCAATGGATCCTGTCCATTGCTAAGATATTACTTCTATCCTAAGTATGAAGCTGTTAGAAAGTATACTTAAAATCTCTAACGCCGATAGAATAATTGGACGGATCCATAGTTAACGCCAACCTTAAATGACGGAAATAAATACTTTCACAGATTTTTAAATTTTGTTCTATTTGTTTCTTAATGATTGCCTTCCTATTGAAATATACATCATCATCATCACAGGGAATTTCGATGGAAATAAGCATACTCATGATGCGCATTATTTTGTTATTCGAAAATAAAATTCTGCATCCATTACCACATTCTTTCTCATTTTCTTATCGGGGTATTATTTTATATCAATAAAATTAAAGGACTTTGAGAAGAATTCTTACAAACAAGATTCAATAAATACGTTTCAGTCGTTTAGGATCTACAGTCAATAAAAACACACATTTTTTCGGACGTCATTTCGAAAAGAAACGGCGAATGGTAATCTCAAGTTCTTATTTAAGTTGAAATGTAAAATTTTCAAAATTGAGGAAGCTAATATTCTTTTCCTTATTGAAAATAATAAACCAAAATCCATTTAAAAAAGTAAGAAAAAGAACAATTGTCATAATGATAAAAATTAACACGTTTTGTTGGGATATGATAATTTTCTTTGTTGTTAATATATTTCACTGATCATAAGTAATAGAAATACAAATCGGGTCAGTAAAACTTTACTGATAGTTAAGCCTTACTGCTTAACTGTATCTTGTTAAACTGAGTATTTTTATAGTGAGACGGACCAGTTACTTATAAACACATTTCTCAAATATCCATTACACTTCGAATACATCCAGAAAGCAGAAGGATGGATATATAATGTAAGAGCTCCCACTTAGGCATTCTAGCAATTTCAGGTTCTCATTCCCATCTGACAGCGAATCTTTGTATTAATTATTTCATTTTATTTTTTTAAGAAGCCTTATCATGAATAGTTTTGTTACAGTGCGGCTGATGAATTTCAAAAAATCATTACGCAATACACTTATAAAGGGGTTTGTTATCCAAATATATTCTTTTTTTTTTGACATTATAGTAAATTTAAAAAAAAAAAAAATGTATATATATATAATATTTGCTCTACGGTTATTTTTTCAGAACAACAGTTGAAAAAAATAGTATTATCGGTCAGAGGAAAACTTAAGGAACAAACATTAATACATTTTCAAATTCAAGTTTTATCTATATGGGATAACATGACACATTCGAAATTTTTTATAAAATTTACCAAAAGTAAAATAAAAATTATTTGATTATAATATTTCACTTGTTGCCTAATTATTCCAGTACGAAGAATGCGATTTCCAAGAGTTTTAAGTAATAAAATTATACGAGAAATAATAAGCATTTTTGAGAGGAACAATAACGGCCTGGTTTTTTTTTTTTTTTTTTTTTTTTTTTTTTTTTTTTTTTTTTTTTTTTTTTTTTATATAAAACAGGGATGCCCAGAAGGCGGTTTCATGGCACAAGTTGTAATCAAAATTTTTGAGGGGGGGGCATATTTTGAAGTGTTTTTGAATTTTTGAGAGGGAAAAATTTCGACGGAATTATGAATTGGATGGTCACCCCTGCTCCTAAATATATTTCAGAACGATAATAAGTAATTAATATCTTCTTTGCATTTCTTTTAATGGCAAGTATTTATTATACATATTGGAAATTATAACTTTATTTCCCAAGATAATTGTCAATTTTTGTTCAAGATTAATTTGTCCTTGTGTTTAACTAGAAATAGTAAAAAACAAACTTTACGTATAAAAAAATAAAGATAAATTGTAATTTAATTATTAATAATTTAAAATCGGGTAACAATATATTTATAATTGATACTAGAATTGTATAGAAGGTTCTTACAATAGTGAATATATTTCTGATGTGAAAACAATCCCGAAATGTTAAGTATGTAATGAAATATAACAAATAAAAAATATATAACAAAAAAATGTCAAACAGAAGCTAAAATTAGCAAACTCATATGATAATAAGTAATTTTAAATCCAACATGTGGTAGCACTCTTAAGTTTTGTGTTAAGGGATTAGACTAATTATGCATTTTCATCGGGATGAAATGGAAAAGTGATTTAATCGAAATCAGATGTTTTCGTAGGGCATCGTGTCAGCCTTGAAACTTATAATTGAATTTAGCTTCGGATCTGTCAATTACCCTTCTATAAAACTGCAAAAACATTTTAAAAACAGAACGTCAGATGTCCCAAAACGAAAAGCGTGTTCGATTTTTTTTTCTCCTTTTTTGTCGCCGTGCGCCGTTGAACAGGCTGTCACTATGTCGAATGACTAATTAGCGAAAGGTAACTAATTTTCAAACGTGGTCGTTAAAATGTGCTCCGCGAAGGTACATCAAACGGTAATCTCATTAAACGTAATGTCCACGTTACACTTCACTCTCTAAAATAAATGTTTAAGAACACTGTTTTCATACATTTCCATGGAAAAGCGGAATAAAAAAGTTAGAAAAAAAAATTGAATCCCATCATTTTGTACTAATCACGTCAAAATAACTTTAAGGAAATCAACTGTAATTAGGTTAAATATTTTTAATGACGGAAATATGGTTGACCATAGGTATTTTAAGAAAGAAAATTCAATGAACGACTCAAAAATCTGTTTATTTCTCAATAATATTTTATTATTTCGAAGACCTTTACTCAATAATATTTTATTATTTCGAAGACCTTTAACAAACCCTTTCCACATCACAAAACTTGATTTCATTTATTTCTCATTTTTGCGTCTGACAACGTTTCGAGCAACTTTAGCAGTTTAGAATTATATCAATAACATTAATGACAATATTATTTTAATATATATTTATCAGCTCATGAACAATATTTTTTTTTAAAATTACAGTTAAATAAAGAAAACTTATATTTCAACACGATTATTTAATCCTGTAGAAATGTTTTTCTTATTTAATTTTTTTTTTTAATTTACTCATGAGATTTACAACTGTATAAATTTAAGAACATATCTAGTAAATGTGCACACGGTAATAATACAATCACATGAAAACGCTTGTTGTGAAACTATCCATTGGGAACACTCTAATAATATATTTACATAAGTAAATCACGAGGCCATCTTCTTTTCAGACGTCTAGAAGGGTTATCAGCTATCGAAGAGGAAGCAAGGTTTGAAACGAGAGGATTTGGATGGTTTTGAAGTTTGTTATGGAAGGATAAGTATCTGGAATGGTATAAATCGGAAACATATGGTACGTTAAGGTCGCTATGAATGGTTTTAATTGTCACAAAGTAAGAAGCATTGAGGATTTTACGAAGGATTTTGGATTGTAAGGATTGGATAAGGTGAAGGAATTCCATGGTTTAGTGGATCCCCAAAGCTCAATTCCGTAAGTCCAGATTGGCCTTATTATAGTCATGTATATGAGTCTTTTGTAATATATTGAAAGTTTAGAGCGTTTGCTAGTAAGTGCTGGAGTATTTGAAAACGTCGAGGAGTTTTTTGTCATTTCAATCTTATCTGAGGATTCCAAGTGAATAAAAAAAAATAATACAAATTATCGTATTCAAAAACTTCAAAGATAATAGTAACTATAAAGTTACTTGTCCGAAACCTTTTGAAGGAGCAGTGCTGACACAAAGAAAGGTATGTCCATTTTGTAAAAGTTTTCAGGAGGATCGAAAACTGTTAACCATCAAATAAAATATTTATGATGCTAATTTTATTTAATTTGTTAACAATAGTAAATTAAAACTTAATTTGATACCCATTTGATGTGTATAAGACATTTAAAGTTAATTAGTTATTTAAACAGGCGGGTCTAAAGGAGAAAGAGAAACAGAGAGAGCTTTCAAGCTAATTTTTTTTTATTGGTCCATGTTTTTTCTGAGTGATATGTACTAACTATAACCTATTTCTTCTCTTTTTATATTATAATGAGCACATTTAGATGAGATCGTAAATTTTCGAAAAAAAAAATGTTCAAACCAGGGGACAAGGAGGAAACATGGATCAGCAAATGTAATCGTATCTACGATTTTTATAATTCTACTTTCGCTCGCACTATTTTTAAGAGATTCATGCGCCATCGACCTTGGAAGGGATGGGCATCCTTGATATGTGATTTTGTCTTGGACGGTAATTTATAGATAAAAATATGTAAGAAATACAAGTGGTTATAGCATTGACGGGGAACCGCGGCCCCGGAGGCTGCATGCAGCCTCTATGACGCAGTTGCGGACTCCAGACGTTTTTGCTTGATATTTATTAATCTAGTGTGTTAGAATTAATAGATATTCAATTATTTAAGTAACGACAATTTGGAAATTAATGTAATTAAGTTTAATGTAAGTATGTGTGTGTGTGTGTGTGTGTGGGTGAATATTTAGTGATTAATAAAAATAGCAGCGGTAAAATATTTAATAAGGAATTATTGCGGCTTCCATTAGCACTGCGGCTATATTCATAAAAAAGGTTCCCCAACTATGGTCTATAGAGTTAAAATAAAAAAAAATAAATAAAAAAATTGCGTGCTCAAGAAACGAGGAAGCAATAAAAACGAGTAGTATGCTAGTCATGAGATTGTAGTAACAAACCAACAACAGTTAAATGCGACATTGCGATGAAGAAACCAACGTTTTAATTAGCAGTTATTAAAATGTAAGATCACTTAACAATCAGATAATAGAATTATTTAAATGAACTCTTGACATTATCTCTTAACAAAGCTCTACCCTTGAGTTAATGTCACGACTTGGAAATGCCTTTGATACAGTAATACGGTAATTTTCATTCAAGGCTAAAGAAGAAACAGCGGTCGGTTTTGGGACCGTTGCCCGGGTACAGAAAAAAAACGTAGTATTAGCCGAGGAATTGCCCTAATAAATGAAATATATTTCAGATTAAAATGAAAAAGATGCCTAATGAACCTCCAGGGCCCGGGCCATAAACTGCTCAGCCTCCGTAATCAATCCACTTCAGGGACAGGACGTCTTATCTCGAAGCATCTCTTGTCCTCTAATGGAATCCGGCATCTTCTGCTTTCTGTCTCCGCGATGGGCAACGTCGGTCCACGGGATTCTCCTCCGAAGGAGCCACAGGAAGGTGACTACATGACAAATGTCTTCCTTTCTTTAAAAGACAAGAACTCAAAATTATTATATAATTGCTTTACACTAGTACACCCCAGCGAGATATCTCACATGCGATGACTATAATTCCTCCAATGCAATCAAAATGGGCAAATGCTACTTATATATACTACTTCATATGAGTACTAAGTACCATAAATTTTACACGAATTGGACCACTTTTGGAAATTCAATCACTACTTCAGTTAATCCTTTGACATAAACTGAAGTGGTAATTAAATTATTTGGTACGCAAAAAAGGTGAGTATCTTAGTAAAATACTTGCTACTCGATACTAAGAGTACAACTTGCCCATTTCTGAATGCAATCGATGTTTAAGCGCCATTTGCGAAACATGTGCATTCGTATGTACAATATTATATTGTCCAGGCAATATTATATTCAACACATACAGTTGTTGAAGCTTCGTGTTTTGCAATGACTGTTGAAGTAAGTGTTAATTTAATCAGTAATTAGTAGAGGAATAAAATTCCAGTTTAATAGTTAAGCAATACAGCTATCTCAGAATCTACTAAACTATTTCTATATTTATCTAAAGATTTTTAGGGAGCGGGGTAACTCAGTGATAGGGCGCTGACTTCCACTGCCCAAGTCCTCAGGTTCGAATCCAGCTGACAACAGATAAATTAACTTAAAAAACATAAATTAACTTTAAAAAACATATATGACAAGCTTATAACTAATGATCCTTTGCAGATTTATTATTATTGTTTATTTCATTTTTTTATTTACTTTTCTTTAATTTAATTTTAAAAGTTCATTTGTTTATTAATTTCAATTCATTTATTTATTTTACTGCTACTTTTTAAAAGTTTGTTTGTCTATTCTATCTTATTATCTATAAGTGTCTATTATTATCTTTATTTATTTATTTATTTTTTATCCTTTTTTTTATTTTTATTTTTGTACCAACCATCCAAACAGTATAAAAGTAGTGTCATTTAGTTGATCGGAAGCTGATGACGTGGATGTTTTGCGCCTAGACATCGAAACAAACGAAACGAAACAGATAAATTATTTATTCCTTCGTTGCCGTAGATCGGAAGACCTTCCTATGGTACACCTAGCCACAATAAATTAGGTACATTAATTAATTAAATAATGAATTAAGGTGGAAAACTTGATGTTTAAGCGTGATATTGGTCAAATCACCTCCATGCGAAACCGTTGATCTAGAAACAGTACTTCCTCACAAAGTGCTGAATCCAATCTCATTTTCTACATAAATATATATTAAACAAAAATTAAAAACAGTAATGCTAATTTATAAAATGGTTAATTGCCAATAATTATCAAATTTGGACCCATTTTTTCATACCAAAAATACATAAATAATAAAAATTGTACTATCATATTCATTTGTAACTATTTTTAACTTTTTCAACTTAAAATTATATTTGTTAGCTGTAGTTTTGTTATGTTTGCCTATGTAGTTGTTAATCCAATTGTAACACTTTACCTTGATGAGTCAGGTGGTTGAAGAGCCCAAAACATTTATAAATAAAAAATATATTTAAATCTTGAAACTACATATATGATATATATATATATATAATGTAAACGAAAAAAATTATAGTAAAATAAATCTTTAATAAAATTCAACGCAGAATGTTGTAATGAAGATTTTATCTAATGTATCCAATTTTAGAAATTATACTTGCTTCATGGAGACGATACTTAATGCGCATTTGACCAGTCTTTATTGTGTAATCGTTTTGATAGGTTAAGGAAACTGCAGATTGCTGCCTTATTTTCATAATCATATGTTTCTCATCAATTTTATGAAGTGGTATTTTCTTTCCAACTTTTTACCTGCAAAGCCACTACCTGTGCTTATTATGTTGCTGCAAAACTATATAATCATCAGAGAAGAACACTTTATTCGTAAGACATGCAGCTCTAATACCCTGGGTTACTAAAGAAAAAAAAATATTGAGTATATCATATAATTTTAAAAATGTATGGAAAAAAATTGTTTATATTATAAACAACACTATGAGACGTACTGATAGTGTTGTTTATAACAAAGAAATGTTTAAGATGGGCAAAAATGCCAAAAAGGTTACAAATATGTAGGATAAAACAAAATAAAAGTTTTTTATTGCTAATAAAGAAATTTTTATTTGCTTATAAATTTATATTTACTGAATGTTTTGTATAACATTGTCTATCCTCATTAAATACTCGTGGGTAAGCCTAGTATGTCCGATTCTTAGCCGGGTCAGTACTACTTCTTCAGAAGGTTGAGAGGTGATGATTGGTTGACCCTGTTTGATAGCTCTCTTAGCCATGATATCTGCCATCTCATTGCCATAACTTGGTAACCATAAAAATGTTACCATACATCCAGCCATCTCCAATGTTTTAAGATTAGTTAGAGTATCAATTACTAACCATTTTTTAGAAAAAGGGTCCTGTATCGATATGAAGGTGGATTTTAGCGTCAATGGATTTTACGCCGCGGTTGAGTGCAGATAGCTCAGCGGTGTAGATTGTACTAATCAGAGGAAGGGATAACATTAGATGATTATTTCCTATCATCACAGCAGCGCCTACTCCTTCTTTGGTTTTAGACCCGTCGGTATAAATAAATTTCTGATGGGTGTTTTGAAGAGATTAAATTTGAAGATATAAATATAGTACGTCTCATTGCGCCTAGAAAATACGAAGAATTTGTTAAGAAATATAACTTTCACTGCCTCCATAAACAGAAACCATATGCCCCTAAAAGATATTGTTCAATAAAATGAAAAATAATTTAATAAGACTAATTAATTTTTGTGAAACAGGGATTAACAAAAAAAGGTTCATTTCTAAACAAAATGGGACTAAACTGAACCGAACTTTCTTTGGATTTGGATTTACCATTTTTTATGAACCTAATATTGGTTCTAATTTGAAAATTAAAACATAGGTAAAAAACAACAAGCAGTTTTATAATATTTTATCAAAAATCTATAAAATGCATACGTTTTTCATAGTGTTGCCCAAAATCGGTAAAAAAAAAAGGCCAGGACTCGTAAAAAAAATCGATTTTTTGAATAAAAATTAAGACAAAATAGTTGCAAATACTTGATAATTTTAGTTACTATATGTAAACAATTGATATAACCAATATACTTTTGCATTTAGCTATAATTTACCATTCGAGCTTAATAAGGTTTCTCTTATCTACAAAATTACAGTAATATCATTATGGTAATAAGCTAACAGGTAACTGCAAGACTGTTGCGAGATTCTTGCGCAAGACCAAGATTGAGTTTGCAAGACCAAGACTCGTATCGGTCTCGTGTTTGGACAACTCTAGTTTTTCAATGTATTTCTTAAACCTTTTTTTAAAAAGACTGATTGGTTCATATGAAAAATAGCTAAGCATTTGAAAATTATTTTTGTAGAACCTAGGTAAAAGCTAAGGCACACTCCAGGTTAGTAAAATAAAATAAATAATAATTGACATTTAACAGAAGGCTAAATAAAGGAATCAAATGTTTCTAGCTTAGCAGACAAGCTTAACAGCACAACAGACGAATGAAACTACCTTATTTCGAAACTTTTTCGTACTTGGTTTCTGGAAATCGTTAGAAATATTATATAAAATATAATATGTAGGATAAATAATGTTCTATAAGTATAATTTTAGCTATCAGCATTAGTTCTATATCCCACAACTTGTCCGTTGAACCGTATTGATGATGCTACTTGTGTACTAATACTTTAATAATATAAAAGACGGTATATCCTCCACAATTTTAGACCATGTAGTATACAGAATACCCTAAAAGAATCACCCTTCAACAATAATGGATTTCGAAAGTTTTAGAACCAGACATAAGCTGGAAATAAAAAAAAAATTGAATACATACAATTTTTATTTCAACACAAATAGTAGTAAACAGCTATTAAGAGGAAAAAAAGACCAATAACAAGTTGGCGATTAAAAGAATACCCATTTCCAATGTAAATGGTCCAACTAATGACATTAATGCTACTTGCTTACATGGATTCTTCTATGCCCTCATCAGGAAGATATTAGTACAATTACCAAGTTTATGGATAACGAAATGGATGTTCTATTCAATATACGAGGATGTCGATTATCTAGTCATAGAAATTCATAGGAAACAGCTGTCCATCAACAAAGAAACCCCTATGCATACAGACCACTCCGCTGATATCGACAAGGACCATAATTAATCCTTACAAGGACAAACAAGGGGTCATTAAGATGGGTAAGACAGACAGAGAAGGGGAGTTGAAATTAATACGTAGCATTAGCTGTCATAGCTGAGCGGGGGCCCTATGTAAATGGGGCGGGGACCACCCGCGGACACCACCCACTGGTTCTGATACCATCGCCGCCGCAGTAGGTGTACTTCAGGATATATGTCTCATCTCTGACAAACTGCTCCAGTATTTAATTTTAACAAGCATGCGTATTCTGAGCAAAATGGTCAGCTGAATTTGTCCTGAATAGACTCCAACGAATCCTGCTGCCATGTTTTTACTTTCACTTATGTATACATGTAATATATAGTAAGTGTATTTAATATATAGGAAGGGTAAGTGTTGAGATCGATAAAATGTTTGAATTTGAGCTTTCAACGAAAATACACGTTTTGAGGTACCCAGAGTCCAAATGACCAAGTCCTGAAAAATGGTCTGTGTATCTGTCGGTTTGTGTGTTAGCAGTATAGCTCATAAACGAAAAGTCGTACGAAACTGATATTACGTATTTAAGATAGGTATATGCCTTAGATGAGACAGCAACTTTTCCCTCAAAATTGGCTAACCGGAAGTGCCACTTTATATCAACGCTGAAACACATTTTTATAATTTTCTCAAAAACGGCTCTAACGATTTTGATTAAACTCGGTGTATCAATGTATAATGAAGTAATCTTTAATACCAATTAGGTCTTATATTAATCATATTACTAATGATTAAAATGATATGCAATACATATTGTTGACTGGTTAATAT